CTCATCTGAGTTTGAAATAGTCCTAAGTGATTTTGATGTAAACTTATCCCTTCCATTTGAAAATTACTGGTTAAAATATTAAAAAGCTGTTTTCAGAGTAGAAGAAAAGGACAGAGAGAATATGGAAGAAATGTATTCCCTCTACAGATTGTTACTGGAGGCCTAGAAAGAAGTCGTCTGTCTTGTTTTTGTGCAAAACTAACCTTTAGTAGAAAGTAAATTATCATAGCAATAGGTACACTCTGACCAAGTGTGACTTTTGATAATAGCATAGTTTTTGTTCTCTCTTTTCTGTTAAAAGAAAATACTGCCTACTTCAAAAGAACCAGTAAATTTGGGTAAAACTTTTTACTTTAAAAAAGAAAACTGACCCTCTATAGCCTGCTGAATAAAGTTTAACCTCCACGCTTGGCCTTTAATTTTTTTAGGAAGCTAAATCATTCATCACATATATTTATGGAGAATCTGCTATTTGCCAGGTACCGTGCTAGGTTCCAAAGATAGGAAAATAATAAGAGTCCTCAACTATTTTCCTATAGTGAGGAAGGCAGGTGTATAAATTAACACAATTTAGCAGTAGATGTGCTCAATTTGCTGTGACAGCTGTTTATAATCATTATATTTTTTAATTTCTGAAGATCATCAGTAATTTCTCCTGTTTTATTAATATTCATTCTAATGGTAATTTGTGCTTCTCTTTTTTACTGATCAGTTTTGCTAGGGGTTTATCACATTAAATTAGTATTTCCAAAGAACCAACTTAGATTTTATAGGTTTTCTTTAATATACTTAAAAAAAAAAAAACTGCCTTCATTTCTCCTTACTTTGAGTTTAATTTACTGTTCCTATTTTTTTCTTGTGGTAGATACATAAAATCCTAGTTTTCAGCTTTTTTTCCTTTCTAATATATGCATTTAAGGCTACTAATTGCCCTCTAAGCATTACTTGACCCACATCCTATAAATTTTTATATGTCATATTCAATTTAAAATATTTTCTATTTTCATTGTGATTTCTTCTTTGATCCATGGGTTATTTAAAAGTGTGGTTATTTTCAATAATAATACGTTTTGTTGATTTCTTAGTTATACTAAGATCAAAATATATATTCTGTATGATTTTATTCCTTTGATATATGTAGAGATTTGCTTTATTGCTCATTATATGGTCAATTTGAGTAAGTATCCCATGTATATTTGAAAGTATTATGTATTCTACAATTATTGTGTTTAGTGATCTATATACATGAGTTGTATTAAGTTTTTAAACATGTTACTCTTTATATCTATCAATTTTTGTTTGCTAATTTTATGAGTTACTATGTTAATCTTCCATAAGAATTTTGGGTTTGTCTATTTGTCATTTTAATTGTCAGTTTTTGCTTTATGTATTTTGAGACTGTTATTACTTGCATAAAATTTTGGGATTTTTATATATATGAAATGGATAAACTCTTAACATTATGAAATGTCCTTTTAAAAAAAAAATCTCTGGTGATGCTTCTTGCTTTAAAGTCTATTTTATCTGAATGGATAGCTATGCCAGCGTTTTGGTTAGAATATGCATAGTAGATCTTTTCCCATCCTTTTGCTTTCATCCTTTCTGTGTCCTTATATTTAATTTAGGTATAAGATAATTAGGTGGTGTTCCCCAGTCTACCTCTATCTTTTAATTGTCATATTTTAGTCTTTTTATATTTAAGCAACTGGTTATACTTTTGAGAATAGATCTAAATCTTATTTTCTATTTGTCTCATCTATTATTTGCTTACTTTTCTCCTTACATTCTTTGGATTAATCATGTTTTTAAAAAGTTTTCATATTTCTTAATTTCTCTATTTGCTTGCTATAGTTTTTAATGTATTCTCTCAGTTGCTTTATTATGACATGAATTCATGACTTATGATACAGTAATACATTAATGCTTAACCATAGCCTGGACAATACAAGGGTCTTAGATCATTTATTCATTTTGTTTTTTATTGCTATTGTTATGCATTTTAATTTTACATACATTTAAAACATCACAAGACAGTCCTATTATTGTGTTGTAAAGTCAGTATTTATTTAGACTTATCCCTATTTACCATTCAGGAGCTCTTCATTCTTTCCTACAGTTCCTTGCTTATTTGTAGAATCTTTTTCTTTTGCCTGAAGAATTCACGTTAGTATTTCTTTCAGTGCCAGTCTGCTAGAGGCCAGTTGTGTCAGATTTTGTTTGTTAGGAAACATCTTTATTTCATAATCATTCTGAATGATTTTTTCCTTTAAGTGTAGAATTCTAAGTTACCAGCTATTTATTTACATTTGGCATGCTAAAGATGTCATTTCATTGTTGTCTTGTTTTCATTGTTTCTGTTGAAATATCAGCTGTCAACCTTATTGTACTTATTTGAAGGCAATGTGTCTTTTTAAAGATTTTTATCTTAGGTTTTTGGTGATCTTACTGCGAACACATCGAAACTTGTGGATTTCTTTGTATTTATCCCTCTTGGGATTTGTAGAGCTTCATGATCTATGGCTAGATGTATTGTCTGTTTTGGAAAATCCTTGGTGTCTAAAAATACTACTCTGTCATAGTCTTTCTGTCTTCCTTTGGAACTCCAGTGATATGGTGGTAGACCTTTTTACCATGTATATTGTGACCTTTCAGTTCCCAGTTCTTTTTTTTAATTTTCCTTTTTTTCTTTCTCTCTGCTTCGGTATGGACATTTTTATTGATCTTCTGCCCACTAATCCTTTACTGTAACTAGTCTATTGTTCAGTTCATCTATTTAAAGTCTTTATTACCATATTTTTAGTTCTAGAATTTTTATTTCATTCTTTTTTAAGGATTTCAGTTTTCTGTTAAAATCCTCAATCTTGTTTTCTGTTTCCTTGACATATTAATCAGTAATCATTAACATTTTAAAGTCTGTATCTAGTAACTCCACTGTCTGGATTACCTCTTAGGTCTGTTTCTAATCTGTTTTGTTTTGGTTATTTGGTCCTGTCTCCTGGTATGTCTGGTAACTTTTTATTGATTTCTACACATGGATAAAAAAAATTGTAGCAGCTAAGGATAATGTTATCTCCCTCTATAGAAGATTTATTTTTCTTCTGGCAAGCTGTTAAAGTGATACCCATCATCTTGGTCCAGTTTAGAATTAAGGTCATTCTTGGCCAGATTTTAGTGCCAATGAAGACTAGTCCATTTCAGTTTTGCCCTTATTCTTGGGTACATTCCTTCTGGAGACGCAACTGAAAGCCTAGAGTATTTTGCCAGGGCTTCTCCTCATAAGCAGGCTTTTTTGTTTTTGTCTCCTCAGCACTGAGAGAGTACTGGAAGCTCTACTTAGTTTTTTAGTCTCTTACTTGCCACTTTCTGCTTGGCTACTAGACCCCTTGCTGCTTATAGCATGGACATTAGCAAATGCCTGGAGAGGAAAAATAGTGAAGAATGTTCAGTTTGCTTCGTTGTATCGGAAGGAAGAAAGTTGCTCTGACACATGCTGTTCCTTCTTAGCTGGAGTTTGTGCAGTTAACCTCTTTAACTTTTCTCACCCTTTGTGGTTTCATTTGTTGAAGATTAGATAGAAGGTTTAAATGAGACAACTAGACTAAAGAATTTGGTACAGTATGTTCTCATGTGCTTCATTTTTTCCATGTTAATAAAAAGCAAAATTTTAAAAGCAGACTTAAATTTCCTACTCTACTTGCCCTATAGCCCATATACACAGGCTTATTTACTGAATAAATACCTTAAAATGTTATCAAATTTATATGGTAGAAATATTAATGTAACTGCCGTTTCTTTTAACAGAAGAAATACTTGTGGAACAAATTAAAAACAGAGATGTTAAGACTCATATTTTTATTATTTCCTGTTTTTAGTTTTTGTTGATTGAGCTATGTTTTGAAACATTTTAGAAGTTATAAATGAATCTAAAATAAAATATTACAATATCTGTTGAGAACTTGGACTTTTTTGCACTAAAGCGTCTGTTGCTTTTATACCAGAGCTTACGCAAACAGTGACATACTACTTTTTAAACTGTGTCTCACTTTACTCGTCTGTAAAATGGCAATGGTTGCATTACCTAGCTCAAAAGATTTGAAAACCTTAAGGTTTGAATGCTGTGTATTAGTCTGCTTTGGCTGCCATAATAAAATATCTTATAGACTGGGTGGCTTAAACAGCAGAAATGATTTTCTAATAGTTCTAGAGGCTGAAAAGTCTAAGATCAAGGTTCTGGACAATTTGGTTTCTGGTGAGGGCTCTCTTCCTAGCTTGTAGATGGCTGCCTTCTTATTGTGCCTTCACATGGTCTTTCCTCAGTGCATGTGCATGGGATGGGGGTTGGGGATTAGGGGTTATGGGAGGGCGGGGAAGAGTGCTGTTTCCTCTTATAAGACCACCAGTCCTGTTGAATTAGGGCCCCAGGCTTATGACCTTTTTTTGACCTTAATTCTTTAGAAGCTCCATCTCCAAATATAGTCACATTAGGAGTTAGGGCTTCAGCATATGACTTTGGGGTGGGGTGGGGGGGACACAATTCAGTCCATAGCATACTATCATGCATAAAAGCACTTAAAATAGTACTTGGCAAGGCTGGGCGCGGTGGCTCACACCTGTAATCCTAGCACTCTGGGAGGCCGAGGCGGGCGGATTGCTCGAGGTTGGGAGTTCGAAACCATCCTGAGCGAGACCCCCGTCTCTACTAAAAATAGAAATAAATTAATTGACCAACTAAAAATAGAAAAAATTAGCCGGGCATGGTGGTGCATGCCTGTAGTCCCAGCTACTTGGGAGGCTGAGGCAGGAGGATTGCTTGAGCCCAGGAGTTTGAGGTTGCTGTGAGCTAGGCTGACACCACGGCACTCACTCTAGCCTGGGCAACAAAAGTGAGACTCTGTCTCAAAAAAAAAAAAAAAAAATAGTACTTGGCACATAGTAATTACTTAATAAATTGTGGTTGTGTGGTAGTATTTTAAACAATCTTTTCCTTCTTTTCTTTGTAGGTGCTGGCTTTGGGTTACTTTATAAAACACTAGGAATGGTAATTTCTACTTTTCGGAACCTCAGACTAAGAGGCTAAAGAGAATCCTGTGTAAATGAACTGAATTCTCTTCTGCTGTCTTCTTGCATTTGGAGACTCCTTTATTTCCCCATATCCAAGGAGTGCATACTAGTGCAGTCATTATGAATGTGACAAGTTTGTTTTCCTTCACAAGTCCAGCTGTGAAGAGACTTCTTGGGTGGAAACAGGGTGATGAAGAAGAAAAGTGGGCAGAGAAGGCTGTTGATGCTTTGGTGAAAAAACTGAAGAAAAAGAAAGGTGCCATGGAGGAACTAGAAAGGGCCTTGAGCTGCCCGGGGCAACCCAGCAACTGTGTCACCATTCCCCGCTCTCTAGATGGCAGGCTGCAAGTCTCCCACCGGAAGGGACTGCCTCACGTCATTTACTGTCGTGTATGGCGCTGGCCCGACCTCCAGAGCCACCATGAACTGAAACCACTGGAATGCTGTGAGTTTCCTTTTGGTTCCAAGCAGAAGGAGGTCTGCATCAATCCCTACCACTATAAGCGAGTAGAAAGCCCTGGTAAGTCAGTCCTTTCATGTTGACGTACTTTGGTGCCCAGTAGCAGACTCGTGGTGTTCAGAGTATCAGAACAGTCTTTTTCCATGTATTTACTTGTAATTTAAAAATATTTGGGGAAATTGTGTGTGTGTGTGAGAGAGAGAGAGAGCATATGAGCGCACCCTTGAGTATTTCATATGTTTTAATAGTTTATTCCTCTCTAGTTATTTCGTGGGAGCTCTTATTTCCTAGGAGTAGGCTATCAGAATTGTCATTGCAGCACTGATACCTCTAATTTTTAATAAATCGTTTTCTTTCTAAATTTATTTTTCATGTTTCACATTGGTTCTATGCATTTCTTTAGACAAATATAGCTATGAATGCACTATGAAGGAAGAAACTCAGGAAAGGAGCACAGTGTTGCCGGCTGCATACTTGAGGGAAGTACATCCTGAGGGCCATGCCATTGACTTTGTACCACTTGGTACTTAAGAACAGCACTTTTTATCATCTTTAGTAGAATTTTGCTGTGGCATATTCCCTGTGCCTTGGAGCAAGAATCACTTGCTCCTATTACTTTATAAGATATTCCTAGTTTTTACATGTTTGACCTTTTGGGGGAGGGCATAGTAAAGGATACATTTTTAAATTTGTATGGTTTTGTCCTCAGGTTAGAATCTACATTCTAGACAGTTGGATCAATGGGAAAGTGATTAGACATTCAAGCATTTAACTATCTCATTGTCAGATTAGGACCAATTTTGTTGATGGATTGGCTATTAACAGCTTACTGGTTAACAAAGGTTCCCGAAGTGACAGTGCATTAGAATCACATGGCTCCCCTCCCAGAAATCCCAATCCTGGGATAGCCTGGTAATCTGTTTTTAACTAGTACTTCAGGTGTTGCTTGGTGTTTGGGAACTACTGAGCTATCATGTCATAACATGGTTTTCAAATTTTAAAAAACTGTATTTTTGTGGAATATTTAAGATATACCAAAAAAGTTTAAAGGCTAGGGAATAATATAATGAACATCTTTGTATCTACTACTCATTTTAAGACATAAAAAATTACACATAAACTGAAACCACTGTTAATGTCCCTCTAATCCTGTTGCCTTCAGTAACCACCATCCTGAATTTGATATTTATCATTCCCACGCATGTTTTTATACTGTTATTACATATGTATGAATCCATGATGATAGGTAACATTATTTTGTGTATTTTTAAATGATACACAGTGACACTGAAGTTTCCTTTTACAGCTTGTTATATTCATTGAACATTATGTTTTTTGATTTCTAGATGATATACTTTAGGATTACCTGGTCAAGTTCTGTGAAAACTTTCTGAGAATTTATTGGAATTTCATTGATTTCATTTGGGAAGGATTGACATAGTATGCTCTTGAGCTTGATATTATTTACTACTCTAAGTTTTCTCCACACAGTTCTTGCACATCTTTTCTTAGATTTATTTCTACGTAACTGGTCTTTGTTGTAGTCTTTTAAAAATTACATTTTGTTACAGTTGTTCTTGGCTAGGAGTGCAATTGCTTTTTTTCCAATAACCATACTGAATTTTCCTTGTTAGTTCTAACATACATACTCTTTACTGCTTGTTACACCAGCTGTGTTGCAAATTTTTTTAAAAAGCTCAACACAGAGATACATGATCCTCTTTTAGCCAGAAATTGAAGTGGAGCTAAAAGTTTTGGAGAATGAAAAGTAGTGTCTATGTCATATGTACAAACAAGATATTTAGGTACATGATTTTTTGATTCCCATAGTAACTTGAAGCCAGGGAAGTTTTTAAATTCTGTACAAGCGATGACATTGAGGCCCCTACAAATTAAATGACCTGTATGTCAGACTACTGGAAAGTAGAGGTGTTTAGACATGAACAGTATTCTGATATGTCCTCTCCATCAACGCTCCCCTCACTCTCCCACCTTCCAGCATTTCATCTTGCACTGCAGCACCTGCCTTCTGTCTGGTCACCCCCTTCAGTCTGTCTTCTACACTGTGGAGAGGGGTCTTTTCAGATGCAAACAGAATCCTTCCTGTTTCCCATTGCTCTTGCACGTTCTGGTCCTTGCCTCCTTGCCAGCTTCCTTTCCCCGCCCTTGCGTGCTTTGTGCTTTGTGTGCTTGAGTTCTATGGAAACACTGTGCTTTTCCTCTGTCTGCAACTTGTTTCTCCTTCCTCTTTGCCTAGCTCACTCTTACTTAGCCTTCAGGTCTAAGCTTAAGGGAGGTCATTCCCTTTATTGGCCTTTCTTGATCCTCCTTTTCCAACCTTCACTCTCCTCCCTGGAGGTTATGTCTCACTTTCCCATAGCAATTTGGGTTTCTTCATAATGCTCTTCACACTTACAATTTTTGTTCTCTTGGTCTTCTTTGCAAGATAGTGCATAAAGCCCCATGAGGGCAGGGATCATGTATATTATTAACATTTCCATCTCAGTAGCTAGCACAGTTCAATAAATTTTTACTGTTAAATGAAAATGCTGATTTTAGTTTATCCCTTTAGTTTTTCCCTTTTTCTAAGAGATGAATTTTCAGTTTGTCTGTACGATGTGACCATCATCTTCCCTTTGTTGGTCATTTCATGGCTTATTATTAACACCTCTGACACAAGGAGGAAAGTTAAAACCAACACAAGATGATTTTGTTACTCTGAATAACTTACATATGCTCTACTAAAAGGTTTGAGAGGAAGGAGGTGGAAAATTGGCTAATATAGGCATTTTGAGACTCCACAAATGTCATTTCAGCCTCCTCTTTACCCAAGAATCTTGTGAGTCGTGGAACAGCTCTAGAAGCTTCTGAGGCTGAGAACTATTTAATTTGAACCTATCAGGATTTTACGTATATTTTTCGTATTGTGAAGTGACTGGTGTGAGAATTGGAACAAAATGGGCTTTTTTCCAGAGACTGCAATGAAGTAGTTCCTGTACCTTGTGGGGAAAAGCCCTAGTCAAAGTGCAAGGGGTCCTCAGCCCCTCACAGCTCCCAGAATAGGCATATTCCCTCTGTAAAGCCCTGTAGAGCACACCTGGGTATTGTTTCTGTGAGACAGTAAGGGGGGAGGGGTCTGGAATTCCAAGCTACACATACATACACAGTACAACACTGAATTATTCTGAACTATGTCATTATTTTACCTCAGATGCAGTATTTCAAAGAACAATTTAGCACCTGAAGCATAACATATAGTTAAGTCTCCCAAACCTAGTGTTTTCTGCTGAGGTCCCAGCAACTCTGGAAAAAAACTCACCAAAAATTGAGCATGTATACAAGGTACAGAGTACCGGTTTTCAAAGTGTGGTCTATAGACTAGTAGCATCAGCATCACCTCGGAAATTGTTAGAAATGCAAATGATTATTATTTTAATTGACAAATAATTATAATTGTGTGGATTTAAAATTGGCTTACTCTTTTCAGAATTTTCCTTCTTATAGTCATTAAGATTAACACTATAAAACGATGTGATAGGGCATCTTGAAGTGGGTGGAGAAGTAGGGGAGAAAGCTGTGTTTTGCAGTTTGGCTCATTGCAAGTTTTGTAACTGTTCTTTTGGGGATCTTGTATCTCCATCCTTTGACCAAAAATAATTTTATGGACTCAAGTAATAGCAGTTTTTCCTTAACCTGTGACATTTATTTTCTTATAAATAAAATAGTATAAAAATAGTAGTGTGAAAAAACTGAAACTTACAGAAACATTTTGTTGCAACTTGTATTCAGTATAGTTAACAATGGCAAAAAGTATGTAAAGTGAAGAACCTTCCTTTTGTTGAAAGGTACTACTTTGACCATTACTGAAAAGTACATTTTTGGGAAAGTAGAAAATGTTAGGAATTTCTTTTTCTGCAAATGTGTGAACACTTACAGGAAAAAGAAAGTCTATGGAGCTTCTGAAGACTACGACCTTGCTGCTGATGTAACAGGTGGACTGTTTACTTGGACTTTTACCAGCCTTCAGAATCAAGGCCACTTATTAGTGGTTGGATTAAATGTGGGTTTCATTTTCTTTACTAAAGTAAATGCTGACAGTGGTTAAGGAAGTCATCTAACTGTGATATGGAGAAGACCATTCACTTCCTATCGGCTGCTATTAAAATGACTTAATGGAGATTTCCTGCCATTTGGCTTTATATTTTTTATGTTTTTCACATGGTTCTTGAAAGTTATCTTCTGCCCTTTTAACTTAATCAACTTTGAAAGGCCATATTAAACCAGAGCTTGAAATTCTGAGATTTCAATTTTGATCTTTAACAGGTTGGAGTTGGCTTCCAGGTGCTTTTATTTTCAGCATAATGGCTGCCAGCTGTTTAAAATTAAAATACACCTAGAATCCTCTTCACCTGTTGACTAAGTGTGTGATTTGACTCTTGAGCTGCCTCGGTCACTATGTAATTCATGGCTTGGTAAATTTTACCTTGAAGAGAAAGTCTTAAAATTTTAGAAACAGAGTAGTTGTTACCAGGGGTAAAGGAGGAGGGGCAGGGGCAGGAGTGGGTGTGGTTATGAAAGGGCAAAGGGAGGGAAAGGGAGGGACCCTCGGGGTGATGGAAACTTTCTGTATCTCAACTGTATCAGTGTCAGTATTCTGATTGTGACGTGAAGGTCAGCGGGATTGCTCTGTTACAATTGCATGTGAATCTGGTTATCTCAATTTAACAAATGCTCTTCCATGAAAAAGCAGCTAGCTCAGCCCACATTCCTTAAGACAGCCATTGTCCGTTGGCATGCAGCGAAGGTGTTCTGTGCAGGTGTCCTGTACGTACTTCTCATTGTCACACAAAATATTAAAAAAAAAACAAACGTAAGAGTCAGGATTTAATAAAATTAATATTTTTTGGAAAACAAAAATGAAAGTTTTTTTTTTAGAGTGTTGCTTCACCGAATATTGTGAATGTACTTTTATATGAGCCAGTGATAATAAAATCTTCAGGTTAATTGAATTTTTTAAAAAGTCTTGCATTAGTATATACATTTGGAGGGTGGGGGGAAAG